AGAAAGAAAGAAAGAAAGAAAGAAAGAAAGAAAGAAAGAAAGAAAGAAAGAAAGAAAGAAGATTTTACAGTTCTACAATCTAATCCTTCCCATGGTAAAGTTGATGGTGTGATGTTCTGTGCTCTGTGATGTTTAGAAGGTGTTAACAGGACTCACACACTGTATGTATATATTTTTTTAAATACATGTTCACCCTACCATGACCACCCCTGTCTTTTGTACTACTAATATTCTGGTTTCAGTTTATTTCCCAGTTTTTAAAAAACAAATCTGTTGCCTTATGGTTCCAAGCATTGTCATCAGAATCAGAATCAGAATCAGACAGGGTTTTATTGCCAAATGTCATCAATCTTTTTACATTTTATTTTTTTTTATCTCAAAGCACTTGTTTCCTTAACTACCTATGGACCTTTTAATGTCTAGTTTCCTGTTAACTTTAAAGCTTCACCTGAAATCTGCCTGAGCTCTCAGGAGCCAACATGGAGGACGAGATCTCCTGAACTGAGCTCCTCACTGTGGAACTGCTGTATTACCAACATTTATACCTGCTCTACCACATCAGGCATTTAATGTGTTCCTCCACATTCATCCCACAGCTCCAGGTGTTACCTGTATGCTCTTCTTGACCTCATCTCACTTGTATCATCCTCTCAGACTCGAGTCAGGAGGCTGACACGCCTCTGATCCATTAATCAATTAGGAAATGAAATGAAAACTCATTGAAAAGTAAAATACCCAGAATCACTGAGCGAGGGAGCACAGCATCGAGGGCAGAGGGACACTCACAGCAGATATACGTGCACCGAAAAAGAGGACCAGGACGACAGTTGACATGAATCCAGGAAAGAAACACAGGAAGTAAAAGAAAAACTTGTCACCAAAATAAAAGGGGGAGAGCTGACACACACCAACACAGCAGCTTTGCTCTTACAGAAATGGAGATCATCGTTAACAAAGTTCTGAGTGAGCTCCTTGGGCTCTTTCAGTCCCTTTCAGCTCCTTTTCTTATTCGTGTGCAGCTCTGAGCGGAAACTAAAGGAAGCAAAGCAGGGGTCACATGATGCGTGCTTTAAAAAGCTGTGATGACAGTTTTAAGAAACTGTGTGAACCATTTCACGGCATCTATCTATGAAGCTACACTGCTGTCACAGGAAGCTGCAGACAGCTGTTTCCTCCTGTGGTGGTGGGGTGACTTCACCTGTGACAAGACTCACCAGTGACTGCGCTGACGTCTCAGACCAAACAGACCTTTCACCTCCTCGCCTCACGCCAGCAGGCTCCTTAATCCACTTCATCACTACTGTGAACTGGTCTCAGTGTCTTCATCGCATCATGTACGAAACACTTTAGATTCTATTAGCAAGAAGCGCCCCCTGCTGCCAGAGGCTCAGCAGTGACTACAGACTTTTGAGATTACATTTCAATTACATTTAATCAATCTATAAACTATATTTAATCTATAATCCATCTATAATCTGTACTTTATCCATCTACAATGCATATCACCTGTAAGAAAATGATCAGCAACACAGTAAATCAGATGATCAACACAAACTGTAAATAATCTATAATTTCAAAGTTCATCCTAAACTTCATTAATCCCACTGAGCAGTTTTGAATGATTCTGATAAAATTGTTTGTGATCTGGCTTCCATCATCTGAGGTCTCCAGTTCATGTGACATAAATAAGTCATATTACCTCTGACCTCTCTGTCAGGTTCAACAGATTGATCTGAAGGTCAGAGTGATGCTGATGCTGTTGGATGCCTTGTCAACATTTAGGAAATTATATACTATGAAATTATATATTATGAATGTCTGATTATGGTGATGTCGTATCTGACCTCTCTTTTACATTTCACATCTGCCTCTCTGGCAAGTTGTCCCCAGCATGCACGACATCTTTCAGAAGTCTTTTTCAGAAATACACTGCAGATTGATCTAATCATCATCCATGTTGTCATTACACATCACCGTGTGATCAAACATTTCTGATTCCTACTTCACTACAAACCTTCTACACTACATTTCGATAAGATAATAATAGAGCGAGCTGAACACTGAAGGTTTATGCTCTCACTGCTTCATGTTCACTCAGTTTTTCATTTTCAAGTTAACCCTTTATTTAAAAGACTCATTTACTAATCCCAGCTGAGCTGGAATAAACTAAATTCAAATTTTGATGTAAACAGTCTGATGTATTCTAGTTTTATGTACATCATATTTAGCACCAATAACTTTCATTTTCTTTATTTCTTGATATATTCAGGAGCTGTGGTCCAAAAAATAAAACGCTAACACTGTAATTAACCTGTGTGTAATCTGACACATTCATTAATGTGATAACACAGAAACAACCAGAGACGTCTGTTAATATTTCAATTGTATAAATAAACTAGGAGCTGACAGTGAATACAGATACACTTCATTCTTTCATCCTCAGTTTGCTATTCTGATGCTGGGTGAGAACTTCACAGCTACACTTCCATGTTCAGGTGGAACAGATGACACAGACAGCGGGTTGACAGGAAGTTACGTTTATTGCTGCTCCTGGGAGGTGGGAGGAGTGTAACGTGTGCAGTACAATTGTGTGTGTAAACTGACTGAATGGAAATGTCTGAAGAAACTCTTTGTTCCCCGAACGTGTTTGATCCCGAGTACATGTAACGTGTAAGCAACGACTGATGAGGTCAGCAGGTATGTCAAGTAGAAGAAGGTGGGAAGCAGACAGCGCCGCTTCCTCTGCAGGAGGAAGAGGAGGCAGGTCAGTGGGGGAGCTCATGGGGAACCAGCTTGTAGTGGGCGCCGCAGGACGGGCAGCGCTGGGCCTCACCCTCATGGAGCCAGAACCAGACCACGGCTGTGTTGTCCTCCTCACCTGCACACAGGAAACTGGGTGAGAACCCTAACCTGCAGCTCACATGCATGCTCAGGTTTCCCAGTGAAGAATAAGCCCCACCCCCTTTAAGCCCGGAGGCGAGTTTAACCCTCGTCTGAGAAAGCTGCTCACATACGCGCTTTCACACAGGAAAAAACAACAACTCACACACGCATCCCACAATCCTCTTGTTCGTGATGGAGGGAACCAGGTGGGGGTCGGCCTTGGAGCCTGCATAGTGCTTTGGCTTCATCATGTTGAAGGGGTCCTACAGGAGGGGGAGGAGTCAGATGAGTCGGGCGTGACAGTATTCAACATCAGTTTCACCTCAAAGTTTCTTTCATCATCTTCATGTGCAGGAGGAGGACAGCTTAGGCTACGTTCACACTGCAGGTCTTAATGCTCAATTCTGGTTTTTTGATCAAATCCGATTTTTTGTCTGCTCGTTCACACTACAAATAAAATGTGACAGCAAACGCGCTCTAGTGTGAACCCTCAAAGCGGCCCGCATGCGCAAAAGAAGAGGTCACACACACAACGCGCTCTGTATAGACCCAGACCCAACAGTACTGTTTGACTGATGGCCGTTAATATAAAGACCTGTTTCGGACTTTACGTTTCCCAAATTTTCTTTAAGTCATACAGTTGTTTTGTTATTTACATATGGCCTAATAATTATCCTTATTGCTGTTTAAGAGAGGAGCTGTACTTCAAAGGATAGCTGCAGATTTCTGTCAGAATCTGACGCCTGCAGTGTGAACGTAGCCTGAGATACCCCAGAGACCCGTCAGGTCAAACGGGGCTGAATGAACTCAACGATCTTACCTCGCCATGCTTCATGGCCTTCATGATGACTTTCTCCAGCCCTGTGGCCTGCTCTTCATCAGTGGGAATCCCTGTGAACACAAAATCAGCTTTCATCTTCATTCATACACATAAACCAATACTTTGTTTAAAAGAAAAACAGGATTTTTTTTTTTTTTTTAAAATGTTTACATTTACGTCGTTTCACAAGATACTGACAAAAATGAGAAATAAAGCATCAAACGTTCCTCACAGCGTGCCAAGAAAACCATTAATGGCTGGTGGAGAAAATTCAGATTATACTTTACTTATGAGGAAAAATTCAAAGTTTCAAATTCAAATTCAAATTTTATTTGTCACGTACACAGTCATACACAGTACGATATGCAGTGAAATGCTTGGACAGCTGCTCGTGACCTAAAGAAAACAAAAAAGGAAAAGGCTATGAATAAGATAGGAAATAAATATGAAAAATTAAAAAGGGTAAATTTAACTAGGAAGGAATAAAATATAAATTAAGGTTAAAAATGAAATAACTGTACAACACAATACACAATATAGAACTATATAAGAATGTATGAAGAAATCTAAATATAAATAAATATATACACAATAACAGGATTTAAGTAATGAAGTGAAAAAAGTCCAGAAAGTCCAGTGTGTGTGTAAGAACTGTATGTGTGGGTCAGTACTGTGTGGTGGTGTGATTGAGAGACCGTATCGCCTGCAGGAAGAAGCTCCTCCTCAGTCTCTCTGTGTTGGTCTTCAGGGAGCGGAATCGCTTTCCTGACCTCAACAGAGAGAACACTCTGTTGTTGGGATGGCTGAGGTCCTTCACGATCTTCCTGGCCTTGGTCCAGCACCGCCTGCTGTAGATTGAGTGCAGGTCAGGGAGCTCGGAGCGGATGGTGCGCTCAGCTGACCGCACAACCCTTTGTAGAGCTCGTCTGTCCTGCATGGTGCTGTTCCCGAACCAGGTTAAGATGTTTCCCGCCAGGATGCTCTCTATGGTGCACGAGTAAAAGTTCCTGAGCACCTTGGAGGGCAGTTGGAAGTCTCTCAAGCGTCTGAGGTGGTAGAGATGCTGTCGGGCCTTTTTCACCACGGAGTTGATGTGACAGGACCATGACAGGTCCTGCGTGATGTGAACTCCGAGGTATTTGAAGCTGTCCACTCTCTCCACTGGGCACTCGTTGATGACGGGGGTCTGGTAGTTCCTCTCCTGCTTAGTGCTGAAGTCCACTATCAGCTCCTTTGTCTTACTGACGTTTAGAAGGAGGTTGTTCCTCTGGCACCAGTTCTCCAGATTCCTAATCTGAGCTTCAGGTAGGCCGTCTCGTTGTTATCAGAGATCAGGCCCACCACGACGGTGTCGTCAGCAAACTTGATGGTGGTGGTGGAGCTGGTAGTGGCCACACAGTCATATGTGTACAGAGAGTACAGCAGGGGGCTCAGAACACACCCCTGGGGGGCTCCAGTGCTGAGAGTGGTGGAGGCTGAGACATGTCCGCCCATCCTTACTGCCTGTGGTCTGCCAGTTAGGAAGTTGGAGATCCACTGACACATAGATGAGCTGAGTCCCAGATGCTCCAGCTTGGTGGTGAGTGTGGAGGGAATTATGGTGTTAAATGCAGAGCTGTAGTCTATGAAGAGCATTTTAACATAATTCCCCCTTCTAGTGTCCAAGTGAGTGAGTGATGTGTGGAGGAGATGAGAGATGGCATCGTCTGTGGAACGATTTGGACGGTAAGCGAACTGTAGTGGGTCCAGTGTGTCTGGTAGTGAAGAAATGATGAAGTCTCTGACCAGGTGTTCAAAGCACTTCATCACTACTGAGGTGAGGGCTACAGGGCGATAGTCATTGAGAGAAGCAGGGTGGGGTTTCTTCGGGACAGGAACAATGATGGACTCTTTGAAGCATGTGGGGATCACCGACTGAGATAAAGAGATGTTGAATATCTCAGTGAACACAGGACTAGCTCCTGGTATGCGCAGTCTCTGAGGATACGACCTGGGATGCCGTCTGGTCCTGCTGCTTTCCTGGTGTTCACTCTCTTGAAGGCTCTCCTTACTTCATGCTCGGAGATGACGAGCACGTTTCCGGTGCTGGCAGTATCTTCCTGTCTGCAGCCGTTAGCGCCACTAACACTAGCATTGTTGGAGACCTTAGCTGCAGCCTCGAAGCGAGCATAGAAAGTGTTCAGCTCGTCTGCCAGAGTCACGGCCACGTTCGTCATACTGGCTGTTGGTGCTTTATAGTCCGTTATTGTCCTTAGTCCCCGCCACAGGCTCCTAGAGTTTAAATGTTTCTGCTTTATTTTATTTAGAAAATAATAACATACTTTATTGTTCATTTTGATCTGAGTTTACAGTAAGCTCATGCTGCTGCACACACAGGTGGGAAAACACATGGCTGTCTGCAGACTTCATGCTCTGAAACACAATGACTTCTTTAAACATCTTGATGCATGCTCAATCATCCAGGTAAGTAAATTCCCAAAGTTTGATTCTGTTCATCTGGACGTAGCGTTTTCAGTGGGAGAAACGTTTAGTCACTCATCCAAGTGCATTTGCATAATGACCGTTTCAGTCATTATGCAAATGAACTGTTTATAAGACTGGGGAAACCTGCACTCAGCTGAGACTGAAGAAGTCACTTGGACGAGTGACGAAGCGTTTCTCCCACTGACAACGCTACGTCCAGATGAACAGAATCAAACTTTGGGGACTTCTTTAAACATTTAATTTAAGCCAGTCTGAGCTCTTCTCGTCCTGTTCATGTCTTCTTTACATTTCATATTTAGACAGAATCTCACAATGTGAGATTCTGTCTTCGGTGAAAGTTTACTTTGTTTTTTGGTCATTTATTAAAATCATCACAGAGCAGATTTTTTTCCGAATAAAAGATCAATCAATAATCAACCAGATTAGATAATTATAACCAGAGAAAATATTCATTACTATCCGAAAGCAGTAATGTAATCGATTAACCGAGCGTTTTGTGTAATTGAATAACTGACTAATAATTAACTGTTAAATTGAACTCTGACCTCCCGAAGCTAACAAACTGCTAACGCTGCTAAGCTATTAACAGCCAATTGTCTTATTTCCGGTGTTCCGTCCTTTAAAGTGTGCCGATCTGAACATGGGTTTATTAAAATCTACTGATTGGACCGTTTAATCGTTTTAAAATGAGCCGATCCATCATTTATATTTGTTCTGAATGAAATCTTGTCTAAGCGGCGCTGTCACCGGGACAGGAAGCGATTGGCGTTCTCAGTCTTCCCCGCGGATTAAACCCTCTCTAAGCCGCCTGTTCCCGCCGAGTTCCAGGTGTTCTGTGCCGGCTTGGAGCTCACCTCCTGCTGCCATGCTGCGGCTCAGAGCGGGGGTCCGGACGGAGCGGCAAGCCGCCGCGGCTCTGACGGCGGAACGGAGCAGTAACCTTGCAGCCATTTCTCCTTCTTCAGCGATTACTTAGGTCGATCGGTGATGACGTCATATTTGTGGACAGGTTCTTCTTCTTCTTTGTTTATTGGCAGCTTTGAGGTGCACTAGCGCCACCTGTGGATCTCCAGATTCAGGAGGTTACAATATGTGACATCAGCATCAGTTCATAATGTGACGTGTGAATGAAAACAAACGCTGTTGTGACAGTGATGTACAC